CTTCTTGGGGAAAAAAGAACCCTTTCCATGTTGTTGAGCATGTAAGTCAGTACAACTACTTTGAGATTCCTCATAAAACTAAAAATAGAAATTATATTTGTCCCTCTATATCTTTCCTGGATATCTTCCTGAAAGAGCTAAAGTCATCATACTGAAGTGATACATGTATACTCAATTTTTATATCAGTTTAATTCATGATAGCTATAACATGGATGTGGCCTACATGTTCATCAGTAGATAGATGACTGACAAAGAAGATACATGTGTACACAATGAAGTACTACTCAGCCATTAAAGAAGGATAAATGTAATTTTATAATAGATGGAACTTGAGATCCTAATACTAATTGAATGCAGTCACAGAAGATTAAATGTCACATGATTTTTCTAATACTAGATACTCATTATATAAATAATTACAAAGCCAAATAAAAGACCCATGCTAAGAAATAGGAAGATGTATTCTGTAAAGATGTGAAGGTTATCTGGGCTAGGATGGATGGGGAGAGTTGTGAGGGAATAGGTGCAATAAAAATGATAAAGATATTATATGTATGTATCAACCCACCAATCTGAAAGTGGTCATTATGTATTACACACATATCCTAATAAAAATTTTAGATAAGAATACTACCAAAACCACAAAGCATTTAAAAAAAAGCTTGCTATCTTTGCAGTAAACAAACAAACAAACAAACAAAAAAAAAAAACAAAAAAAAAAAACCCCAAACAAAAAACCTTGGAGCGGTGGAGGTGTTCATGGCTTGCTCAAGGCCCTTCGTTTAATTTCCAGGACAGCCAAAATCAGTGTACCCTAGATGGGCAGATTCCCAAGCCAATCAATTGACATTCTACCATAACTGCCACGTCCCCCAAAACCTCTAAGCCAAAAATTCTTTTTAGGTCATCGTAAACAATGTGAAAAGAAAAATTACAGGCTTAGAAAATACTTGTAACAGTTCAGTGAAACATTATTTCTTTACTATAAGCAGCCATTCAAGTAGATTTAGAAAAAATTGTTTCGGTGACAAAATGGGTAACAACAACAACAAAAAGAAAAATCCAATGCTAATAGATAGGTAAATAAATATTTAATGCCCTTTCTTTCATCCATCCTTGCCTTCCTTGGTGATAGGAGATGGCTTTGCTGGTTTCAGTATTTTCCTGCTATATTCCTTCAACCTTCTCTACTGTACTCTGCGGCCACAATAGCCTGTCTTTTTTTTTTTTGTTTGTTTTTACCGGTACCAGGGATCGAACTCACAACTCACCACTGCCTGCTTGCAAGGCAGGCACTTGTGCCGCTGAGCTAAATCCCCAGCCCCTTAATGCCCTTTTTTTTGGCGGGGGTAACCAGGAACTGAACTGAGGACCTTGTGCTTGTCAGCCAGGTCCTGTGCACTCAGCTATATTCCTGGCCTTTTAATATCATTTATAATAAAAGAAATTTAAAAGTAAAATGCAAATAACTATAACTATTAGGAATATGGGTAGCTACCATTCCTAGACATTGTTTAGTGGAAGTTTAAATTTTTATAGGCCCTCTTTGAGGTAATTGTGATATACGTATCAAGATTATAATTGTGTCTGTCTTTTGATCCAAGAATTCTGTTTTTGTGGGTTTATCCCCAAGAAAAATTTGGATACATGTGCAAAGATACACAGTTATGAATATGCCTGTCATACTTGTAAAAAAATGATAGTATTTAGAAATAAATTGTTTAATACATATAAGTGGAATTCATTTCAGGTATCTTCTATCTTCTAAATTTCTTTTATTGAGGCAAAATACATGCAACAACAAATAATTGCATCTTAACTACTTTCAAGTATATAATTTAGTGGCAGTCAGAGTGTTTGTGAAATCATCATCACTATCCTATGTCTGAAGTTTATACTTAAAATAATTCCCCATTTCTTCCTCTTCTTGCCCTAAAGGCAACTGTTGCTCTTTCTACTTTATAAACTTGACCACTCTAGAATGCCACATATAAGTAGACTATTACAGTTTCCAGATTATTTTACTTAGTGTAACATCTTTAAAATTCATCCACATTCTATGTCAGAATTTCTTTTCTTTTGAAGTCTAGAAACCACCAGTCAAAGGCTTTTGAAAAAATTATTTTTCAAATAGGTAAAATACCTCCATGTTTCAAAATTCAAGAGAACTAAGAGGAGTGGATGGGCAGTGAAGCTTAATGGTAAGAGGTTTCTTTTAGGGATGATCAAAGTGTTCTGGAATTAGATATTGGTGATTGGTGTATAACTTTTAATATGCTAAAAGCCATTGAACTGTATACATTAAACAGGTGAACTCTAGTATGAGAATTATATCTCAAAAATTTTTAAAAGGTTCAAAAGAAATGAAATTAATATCTTCTTAAAGCTTGTCCTTCAATAATCCTATTTTTGTAAATGAAAATTACCAGTAACCATTTTTAAATAACTTTCCAGAAATTTTTTTTTGTATTTTTAAAAATAGCAAATTATAGCTTTAAATTTCTTTCTGTTGTGGTTTACATATAAAATGCCCTCCCCAAAACATATGTATTATGAGCTTGATCCCCAGTGCAGCAGTGTTGAGAGTTGTGGCCTAGAGAGAGAGAGAGAGAGAGATAATTGAATCTTGAGGGTACTATCCTCATTATTGGATAAATCTTTGAATCGGCTGTTAGGAAGTGGGGTCTAGTTGGAGGAAGTAGGGTATTGGAGATGTTTCTTTAAAAGATATGTCTTCTTGGACTTTCCTTCACTCCCTGCTTCTGGGATGCTAAGAGGTAGGCAGCTTTCCTCCCTGATGTCCTTCTGTCATGATGTTTTTACCTTCAAATCAGATGACCTTGGATTAAAAGCTTGGAAACTTTGAGGGAAAATAAATATTTTTCATAGTTAAGTTGTACATGTTCGATATTTGGTCCTGGTAATGAAAAACTAACCAGTATTCCCCCTTTTCTACAAAAATAAGAGCAAAATAGTGTTTTGTACCTAAGTAGACTTCTTTAAAGTTGAATTCTTTTAGTTTTAGATGAAAGCAGGTCTTTTTTCAAGTATTATCTGCTTACTGTTGGAAATTTAGACCTTCCGCAAAAAGAGTAATGAAAATCAAAACACACACTTGCCTAAAGACGGCCATCCTTTTGGACATTTTTTTTCTGGCATGCATACACTTATACAAATACATTCAGTATTTGCTATCATATAAATTTTTGTATTAGTAGTATATTGTGACTATGGTTTTAAAAAATAAGTATAAATTTATATTATACATATTATTTTATACTTAGCCTATCACTTATTAATATCCTTTAGATTCCAGCTTTGTCATTATTATCTTTGTATTTACACTTTTATACACTTGTCAGATAATTTCTTTGAGATACTTAGTACTCAGTCTGCCAAAAATTTTGAAAAAAATTTAGTCAGTAGTCTGCCAAAAATTTTAAACAATGTGTAGTTGTTTTTTTTTTTTTTTTTTTTTTTGTCTTTTTCTTTTTTACCGGTACCAGGAATTGAACTCACGACCACACACTTGCAAGACAGGTGCTTATGCCACTGAGCTAAATCCCCAGCCCCCAACAATGTGTAGTTTTAAGCATAGACCACAAAGATTTCTATGACATTATCAACTCTTGTGGAAAGTTATTGTAGTTATTATAATAATATTAATAATAAGGGTAATCTGAAATTCAGAAAGTTTGTTTTATGTCCAGATTTCATAGTCAGTCACTGTGAGTGCTACAGCTTGTCTTCAGATTGAGTTTGGTTTTCTTTCCACTGTGGTGCACTGCCATAGCAAATATAAGGAATAGTTGATTCACTGCTGTGGTTGAATATAAGAAATAACCTTTTATTGTTGTGTCTGTATTCCTAAAAATAAGATTCTTATTAAAACAACCTTTTGTAATGCTTTGTATAATGTGCTGGAATCATTTGGACTAAATGATAAAGGATAAAGGATCATATGCCTTTATGAAAGATACAAGTGAAAGATAAGATATATTGTCTAAGTATTTCAGTTGATTTGCATCACCATCTTCATTTATTTACTCACCCGTATTTTAATCTGTATAGAAAGTTCAGAATTTTGTAAGCATCATATTATTTTACTACCTTTGGATGATAGTTTCAGTAGATCCTGAGGACTGCTTGATTTGAATGCCATTTGTATCACTGTATGGTCTTGAATAATTTATTTAGATCTCCTGAAGCCTAGTGTCCTTATCAGTAAAACTGGTACATATATAGGTTAGCTGAAGTAATAAACTTTAAGAATCAAAGAATATACTGGTGCTCCCCAGGAGGGGAGGAATGGAGAGTTACTGCTTAATTATGCTTAACTTTTGCATTAAGCATGCTTAAGAAAACTGTAGACATCTGCTGTACAAAGCTGTACCTATGGTCAGTAATATTGTGTTATATACTTAAAATTTGTAAGGAGGATAGAATTCAAATTAAGTGTGACTATCACAATATTGAGAAAATATGTATGTCATCATGAAGATTAAATGAATTAACATTCATAAAGTAAATGCGTGGCACAATCCATACTATATAACCATATCTTGAACATTAGTATCTGTTAAAGTTTATAAAAGCCATTTTTTTATGTTCTTTATATTTTTTGTTGAAATATTTGAATGATGTGTCCATATTCCTGTGGATTTCACCTGACTTCTCTCTCTCTAGCTCTTTAGTTCCTGCAGCATACCTTCTGTTAATTTTGAACAGTGTCTTTATTTTATCATTACTATACAAAGTGAGGAACTGCATACTTGCTTGTTGGGAATAAAGGACAAGTTAATGATATGTTTGTAGATTATCTCAACCATATTTTAAGAAACTGTAAAGTAGAATGAGGTGAATCCTGGTTTACTGGCTGTAGATTTCTGAGAGCTCTTTTAGCTGTTTTAGCTGTTCAGCTCCTCCTGAGGAGAGTACAGCTGGTTGGTCCTTGACAAGGAAAGCTGATTTGGAATTTTTCTTTTCATTTTGCTTCTAGCACATGCAGATGACAATCCAGGCTCTTCAGGATGAATTGCGGATCCAAAGAGACCTGAATCAGTTATTTCAGCAAGACAGTAGCAGTCGGACTGGTGAACCTTGTGTCACAGAGTTGACAGAAGAGAACTTCCAGAGGCTGCATGCTGAGCATGAGCGGCAGGCCAAAGAGCTATTTCTTCTGCGGAAGACTCTGGAGGAAATGGAGCTACGTATTGAAACTCAGAAACAAACTCTAAATGCTCGGGATGAGTCCATTAAGAAGCTTCTAGAAATGTTGCAGAGCAAAGGACTTTCTGCTAAAGCTACTGAGGAAGACCATGAGAGAACAAGACGACTGGCAGAGGCAGAGATGCATGTCCACCACCTAGAAAGCCTTTTGGAGCAGAAGGAAAAAGAGAACAATATGTTGAGAGAGGTGAGTGATCACTTTTTCAGTTTTTACCATTCACTGTCCTTTTCCCCTGGCTTTCCTATGTTACTGGATAAAAATTTTTTGTTGGTTCATTGATTTCTCTTCTGACTTGTTCTCTTGTCTGTGATGACATCATCAGGTATATATCCTAGCTTGATAACTTTATGGATCTCAAATTTCCTCTATCTCCTATACCCTGATTTCTAGAATTCCATTTAATTGCTAGAATGACACAGATTTTCTTTGTAAATCATCTCTAGATTCATTCATAGAGACGACAAACAGAATAGCTAACTACTTAATTTTAAAATGTTAATATAAGAAAGTTATTACTTTAGTTTACATATTTAAAGTCCATTTCATGTATACAGTAATGGGTATTTTCCCTGTGGTTTCCATGGAACTGTTGCCTTGCTGTAAAAGATGTGTGATAAAAATCACTTGCTGCTAAGTAAACACAGCTAAAAAGGATGATGTAGAGCCTCACTATTATAGAACAAACATAGTTTTGAGCTGGCCTGTGTATGATTGCTACCTTTTTACTTTTTAAGGCCACAAAGGAAGAATTTATCCTACACTGGACTAAATTAATAGCTATAACAACTTTTCTGAGTGATCACACTTTCTAAAAAAATTTATTTTTAAGAGAATAAAACCAAACAAAATAAAACAGAATAAAGCCAATCAAAATGAAACAGTGAAAGCAATATAGGACTTCGAAACAAGATAATAGGAAATCAATAATGGCTACCATAATATATCTTGTTATCTATAAAATAGCTGCCCATGCGATCAGATATAATAAGATCAAACAAAACAAAACAGAATAAAACCAAACCAAACAAAAACAATGAAAACAATACAGGACTTTAAAGCAAGATAATAGGGAAATGAGACAGTATTACCCCTTTCAGAAGGAAATCCTGTATTGCTATATTGCATATTGTTATTTTCTAAATAGATGCTAAAAAGATGCTAAGTACTGGCTTTAGGCCTGTAAAGTCGGTCAAACATTAAACACTGCAAGCAATAAGCTGGTTTAAACTTAAGTTACTATTATCTCAGCCTGTGTCTCTGGATTAGCCAGTTCCTTACTAGGGGGGAAGGAGATGGTGCTCAGCTCTTTTAGTCTCCCAGTGTGTGTGCTGGCTGGCTTACAGGAAGTTGTTGGCTTCTTGTTTCTCCTCCCGTGACCTGCATGGCTGCTTCTAGTTCACATGAAGGAGCAAGGCCTCATTTTCTAACATTATCACATTGGAGAATGTTAGGGGCATATAACTGTACATTGTTAGTGCCTAACAAATGTACACTATTTGTTAATAAATCCTGGTTGAATAATTTGAAGTGTATTTGAAGGTATTTAAATCTGGAGCTTCAGAAAGAAGGATAGTCTGCCCGTATTTTTTCCCAATAAATATAACTACAAAATAACAAATACTGATGAAAGCTAAAACACAAATGTCCAAGGTGTAAGGTGAGATGGCATATAACTGTAATTCCATCTACTTGGTAGACTGTGATGGAGGACTGCTTGAGTCTAGGAATTAGAGGCCAATGTCAGCAACATTGAAGACACCCCCTCTCAAAAAGCAAAACAAAACACCCTTCCAAACAAATTTTACTTAGAGTTTAGATGTGGAAATTACAAAGTATTAGCAGATAGGATTACCATTATGATAATACTGTATTACCAAAAGTTGTTCATTTTAGGGATGCCAGGATTGTTCAATACATTATATATTATTATGATTAGTCATAGGTGAAAGGGAAAATGAACTTCATAGTATTTGATGGCTCTCTCAGTGACATTTGTTAAAATGTTACACATTTTGACAGTCAGACCAAAGAAATTCTTAGTGAAATAAGATTATAGTTTGGTTTAAACAAATAACAAAACAGTAAATACATATCTCAAATGAATATTTTATACTAATAGCATTATGTTTACTAGTGATGCAGTAGATGTATCCACAGAAGTTAGGAAGAGGTCAAAGATGGTTGTGTGTATTAGTATTTACATTATTTTGGAAGTACTAGGCAGTACTGTTAGCTAAGGGAATATAATAAATACAGAAATGGAAAAAATGGGCAGTTTTTTTTATTGTATGTTAGAAATAGTGATATAAATAAATAAATAATGTCAGTTTTCTCCACTCTATAAGTTTAATGAAAGTACTCTTAAAACATGCTCAAATGATTGTGTATTTTTTGATTCCAGGAATAGAACTCATGACCTTGCAATTGGCCAGGCAGGCACTGTGTACCACTGAGCCATGTCTCTGACATGGTTTTGTATTTTATATGCAAGACCAGTGCAACAATTACCTAAACAAATCATGATACATATATTTAAAATCCTTTGGAGTGGGTGTATGGTACATCTGTGTGATTTCAGCTAGTCGAGAGACTAAAGTAGGAGAATTGTGAATTCAAGTGCATTTGTACAACATAGTGAAACTGCATCTAAGGAAAGAATGAAGGAGTGGGAGAAGGGAGAGAGGGAAAAATCCATTGACATTAAAATGTGTGGTATAGGCACAGAAATATTTAATATGGAACAAGTTTAAATATTGGAATAATGTCATCATTTGGAAAACACTAATGATAAAGCTTTGTGTTGGAATTTATTTGGAGGTATTTCTTCCCATGTCATTCCAGCACGTAACACAATGGTGTATTTTAACAGTGGTGTCTTAGATTTCATTAAATACTATAACAAATAGTATTTGTATCAGGTAATATTTGTGATATCACTCATTACAATTTTATGAACATGATTCTTTGTATAGCAGCTAAATACACCCTGCCGCAGCAAGGACTGGGGGTACAGAATTTTAAGGAGCATTTTATTTGCTCTTTGTCCTGAAATTACACTATTGTCTGACTGCTTCTTAGATTTTGTGTTGCTTTGTTGTAGCACCTTTCTTTTGGTTGATAGAAGATTGAGGACATCTATTGGACAAATGCTGAATTACAGGCCAATTTTTCTTAATGTTTAAGGCTTTAGCATAGGAGGTTTAAAAGTTTTACAGGTGATTGTGCTACACACTTGAGTTTGAGATCTTGTTGATTCTTAGTTTTTTTGGCAGAGGATATCTAAGTTGGCCATGCAGGTTTTTGGCTTTCAGTTCATATGAATACCAAGCACTGTCTTATCAACCGATTCAGCAGTATTTTTTAAATCTGTATGTGTTTGTAGTTTTGAAAGTGTATTTAACTGCTCTTGTGATGAATAAAATATGGGTTTATTGTAACCATTACTTCATTCTGCTAGTTTTTGGCCCTTATATCATTTTTATTAACAAACTTTGCTGGTACAAGTACTATTAGGATTGACAGAAAAATTCAAGATTAAAAATGCTAATACAATAGATTCTAGATTAGGAATGATGAATCAAGGTAGTGTATGTCAGGAATTATTCTCATTACTATTATTGGTGGCTGGAAGGCATAAACACAGAAGAATGAGGAAGAAAAAGTAATGGAGATACAGACAATATACATTAAGAGAAATTAAAAAAATAGAAATTCTTGGGGCTGGGGATTTAGCTCAGCGGCATAAGCGCCTGCCTTGCAAGCAGGCAGTCGTGAGTTCGATCCCTGGTACCGATAAAAAAAATGAAAAAGACAAAAAAAAATTCTTAAGTTAGCTTGATCTTGTTTAGCAATTTTTTAAAATGACAACATCCCTCATTTCTTTTCTTTTTTGTTGTATCAATTGTTCTTCATTTCCATATTGGCGAGATGTTAGATTTATCTTAGTTACTAGAGATAGTAAAGTGTTAAAAGTGCTGTGATGTTTATTATGCTGAGTAAAGATACTGAAAAAGTTGTGAGAATTCTTTACCTTCCTCCTTGTTTCTGTTACTGTGTTGAGAGTACAGTAAACCATGATTTGCATGGATGATTGAAATTGTAAAAGGACTTTATGAACATTTGGAACTTCTACCCTTGACTCAGAGGTGCCAAAGGTTAAAAATTGAAGGAATCAAATTCTAGACTAGTTATGGCAAAACTTTTAGAGCTTTCAATGATTACGAACAGGCTGATGCAGCACGTATGCCATAGGTTCACCATGTTCAGTCACAAATGCTTTCAGGTGTGCAAGTAAAATTCATTTACTTCTAAAAAGAATGAAACTGGGGTTTTGTTTCTAACTTGTATTCTAATTCTAGATTACTCATTATTTAAGTAAGTTAATGAGAGAAAATGAGCAGATTTTCTGTCACAGTTAACAGTAGAACAAGATTGAGATAATTCTACTTTTTTTTTAAAATGAAAAATTTCAGGCCAACAGGAGCAAACTAAAGTGAGCAAATAGTTTATTCTTATATTATTTGAATAATACACTTCAGTTTTCAGAGTCTCTTGTCATTAGAGGTTCATGAGTTAGGGGATTTATGTGCTCAATGGAAAAGGAAAGTTTACTTGTTCATTGACTGCAGAATGTGTTCATAATTAGCTTTGATGTGTAGGCCTCTTAACAGAAATTTGCTGTGAGTAATAGGTCTTCACATATCTCACTAGGAGAACTTTATGCCTTCAGTGCTTTAAAATGCAGGCAGATTTTTTTTTTAAGTCAAGGGCTGTTCAGTTCATATTTTGCTTTTAGGCTTTCTGGGATTTAAAAATGAAATTGTAATTGTATCATAAGTAGAACATTTAAAAATGATTTACTTGAAGTTATGTCATGAGGAAGAGGAAAAGTTGGATAAAATTATTTGAAAACTTGAATTGTGAGATAACTAAAACCTCTTAACAACTGGATGGATACATATCATTAAATGAGATAGGATGAGTGAAGTAAACTTTAAGGAGGAGAGCAGTAATTTAGTTTTGGATATTTTAACATTGTGAGATGTATAAGGTACACACATTGAGATGCTAAGACAGCAGTGATACATACAAGAAGATGGATTTCAGCCAGAAGCCTATACCTGTATCTTCTAGAGTTTTAGCTATTCAATCCTCCAGCAGATTGTTTCTGTTTTTTATATTTAGAT